CCTTGTCATCATCACTAAATGAAGTTACAAAATCATGTTTTTTTTCTTGACTATTATAGAACGATGCATCTAGAATCAGTGAAGGATAACGTTATAATGACGAAGTGAGTAATCCCTTTTCGCTTTTATATACAATATTCATTTGAGCTAAATTAACTTATTTTGTAAGTATTCATCATACTCGTCATGTTGGTGTTTATTGTAAGATTTCGTATAGTACCATCTGTAAGTTACTTGAGAAGCCGAACTTTTTTAGACAACTTTATATTCTTGTCTTGTAAACTTTTAGTTAGTTGATAATACACCGGTACCAGTAGTGCCACAACTAGCACAAGACGATGTCACTGAATTCAATTATGACGTAAAACATATTCAAGAATGGCGGATTATTGACGAAGGTCTTTGTTTGGAAGGTCAATGTCGAAATTCTCGATGTAAAGCATACAAACAAATGGTCATCGTCAATAAAGGTTATGGCCGATTTGATTTAATTAGAGAACAACACATGTCGAAATGTCCATTGTGCCAACATTCAATTAAACCCATTAAATATGCTGTGAATCGATGTCAGTGGCGAACCGAAAAATCACCAACTTATAAAACAGCTGGTAGTAAATATTATCTCTATGACATACCTGAACAAGTGTCATTTACAGTTAAAACAAAACCTCCTAAAACAGGGAGAGATATTGAACAACAATGTTCAATATGTTTGATGAATTTAGAGCAAGAACAAAGTGAAAAAATTGAGTTGATATGTCAACACGCATTTCATCGATTATGTGTAAGGAAATGGTTACAATCCGGTGAACAAACATCCGGACAATGTCCCATATGTCGGAAACCAATCCGCGAGATTTAAATAATCAATATTTTTTTATTTTTCTGTTACATGAACCAACAAAAAAAGTTGACGTAAATCGCATGAAAATATTTATAAAAAAAATGCAATATTGTAAAGCTTCTGTCATAATCCATGCACTGTAATTCATTAAAAACGTCAAAAGAATTCATTCTTCTCAAAGAGTATTGTCTAACTTCGATGAATTTGAATCGGAATAACAGAATTAACTCACTTGAAATACGTCGTTTAACTTAGCTAGCTCTTGCAGATTCCAAAGCTCCAGCGCAAAAATCTGACTCTGTACTGTATTCATTCTCTCACATACGAAGATCTCCAGAGAACCCTTTCAAAATTCAACTATTCACAATTGAGGTCAATAGCTTTTGTTAAATTCCAGAATATTACGAAGGAAAATCGAGTTTATCTCTATGTTTTGAAGCATTGTGGATCGATTCTGCGTCATTTATAAATTTTATAATTTCATGAGCAAATAGCCACAATTATTTATTTGACGTAATACAGACAATAATACGTAGCTTTTGGATTTCCTTTGGAAAACAAACACTGGCACGAGATTCAGCGTGATCGATAATCTGATCGAATAAGTTCTTGCAATATAGATAAAAATGAAGTTAATGGGCTGATTAATCGAATGAAAAAAGAATAAGGTCTAAATCTATCGACAATCGAAATCAATCAATATCAGCTTCAAACAAAGCGTATGAAGGATTATTTAATATATGTTGTACACAAAAAGTAATTCCTCATCCTCTTTTTAATTAAAAATAAGATGGATTAAGTAGTATGGGAATTAAGTATTAAAGCCCTGGACAGATTAGAAGACCCGGGGTCTTCTATTGTGTCCCTTAGATAAGTGTTATTTTTTCAGTGTCCTTAGCAGTTAATGTCATTTTCAACAATTTTTTGCTTATTATTTCATGTGCAATGGCTCCTAGTAGTAGAC